CAACATAACCAGTGCTAAGTCTTTTTTGCAGCTATTTTTCTTTGTATGGTTTTCTTAGTATGTTTGATTTGGTGATAGGTGGAGGCGTTGCAGAGACAAGGGTGGAACTAAACCCAGAAATACTGGCTGTTTCTCAGTTTTGGCGCTTTCTGTTTCGTGCTTCGCATGTGTGACTCCACTGCCTTAATTCCCATCGTTCCGAACTTGAATGACTTCTTCCACAAAATCCACTGAGCCTCATGGATGTTCCCTGGTTTTAGCCATGGAGAAAACTCTTGGTTGGAGACAATTTTCGTTACATTTACACTTGCTCAGATTTACAGACAAAAAGTTAGTGGTGCATCTCCCAAATGTCCCGGCCGCAACAACGCTTTATTGGTTCCGCTATCGGGACGGAACCAATAATGGCGAGCTGTTATTTTTTTATATATATATTTAAAAAAAAAAAGAATTTTAATGGTTTATTTAGATTAAAAAAATAAATCATAATAAAAATAATCCTATTTATGAGGTTTTAAAAATTAAGACCTACGAAAGACTGATTTAAGACATTTTAATACCAATTAAGGCCTTAGTTTTATTTTGAAGAATTCAATACCCTGTAAGACTTTTTAAGGACCCGCGGGAACCCTGAGACAGACGGAGAGACGGACTGAATTAAAACTGATCATCCTGAATCCAACAGTTCCTCTGGGAGGAGCTGCTGGATGCAGATGAGTACTCTGACAGCTGCACCACAACGCTCCATCCATCATCCTCCCCGACTGATACAGTGACTGACAGACACCAGCCGACCAGTTTTTTTTTTTTTGTTGGGGGGGGGATGCTTTTTTTCTGTAATGAGAACATTGGATCTGCATATAGAACTAGGATATGGGAACGGACGGGCAGGTGGAGAGAGCTGCTGATGACATGACGTCCGTTATCAGATATCTGAGCACTTACCGAGTTCATGAGGAAGTTCGTGGCAGAAAACAGCCACGGATGTACTGATGCCTCCTGTGATGTTGGCGCTGAACGCGGCACCTAAGGAGATTCACACAGAGACACGGATTCAGCTCTGAAAGAAAAAAAACTGTTTAATCTTCATATTAATAATAACAAAACCAACAGACATGTTCAGAAGGAAATCACCTAAACCGAGGAATTTAATCATCTGTCTTTTTTCCAGCGTATTTTGTTATCGTCATTACACTGTCACACGTACAGAGCAACGATATGAACTCTCTGCATTTAACCCATTCCCTTGGGGAGCAGTGGGGGGTTAAGGGTCTTTGCTCACCTACTCAGAGTGTCTGTTAGAGTGAGTCTTGAACTCAGAACCTTCCATTTCTAGTTTTTGTTTCAGTTAAAAGATTTAAAACCATTAGCAGGTCTAAAGATGGCCGACAGAGGCAGAGCAACAGTAACTACGGGGGTTTATTCTGTGGGAACCATTTGGATCCAATCACAATGATGTGGATCTTCTGAAATCTAAACTAAGCGTGATCCATCTGCTCCTGATACAGAAATAAATAACATGTGAACAGATGTTTCGAGATAAAATTGGATTTCATTATCGTTTCTTAACTGAAGCGATAAGTGAAGTGGATGGTTCTCCTTTGCACAGCTCTTTTCTCACATAAATGTGCAATTAAGGAGGTAAAACAGGTAAAATTCAGCATATTGGCCTGATTTAAGTGTAATTTTAAGAACTTTCAGTGTAACCAGCAGTTGTGCTGGAATTGACAGGAGAGAGCCCTGAGTACGGAGCCCAGATATCAGTCAAAGGGCTGATATGCTCATAAAAAAGGAGTCTGGAGTCTGATATAGCGGTTTGCTGTATCATATATTTTATGTTTTTAGTTTTTTTATGTAATATGTCATTTTGTTCTCTTGTTTTTTCATTACCTTTAATTTCTTATTTGCAAAAAACCCTTTTTAAAGAATAAAAACAGTGGTTGATTAGAAAAAAAACTTCTATTTTGCTGGTGAAGATTCTCAGTCATTCCAAAAAAGATAAAAAACAATCCACTGGACTTTGTTTCCAAGTCTGAAGACGTTTCGCTTCCCATCCAAGAAGCTATTTTAATTCAACATGTCAGGAATAGCGTCAAGTTTGACGCTTTATACAGTAAAGGAGTTCTGGTTGCGATGAACCCCAACCCCTTTACGGGGGACCGGAAGATCTCTTCTATTCATCATTCTTTAACGACCCTCTTTTAGAGACATAGACAGGTATGGGGCATTGAGGCAGACACCCTGTCTACTTTTAAGGCTAGGCTTAAAACTTTCCTTTTTGATAAAGCTTATAGTTAG